CCCCACCCCCCTTCGTCCTTTCACCTCTCTGTCTCACCGCCTTATTATTATCACCATTGCATTCAAATGCACGAATGCAGACCGGATTTACATTATTCAAATCAAATAAATTAAACGACGTATCAGACTGTTATTTATTTGTTTACATAGCTCATGAAAACGTGTAAAGAGTTCATTAGCAGAAAAGCTAAACTAGATGTAGGTGAGCGCCAATCATCCTAGTCCACATGATCACTACCGCCATTTCTACCAACGCTAAGGTGTAAACGATCAGGTTGCTAATAACACAACTATATAGGGATCAAAGTCGCAAAAAAACCCCAAGATTTTCCACTGGTTCTACTGGAGAAATGACACTAAGAAAGTTTCCCGAAAGCCAACTCTTTTAAGATTTTATCTGATGATAATTGCATTTTAAAAGTTTGATTTATATTAATCACTCTTGTTAGCACGGTTGTGGCGAGCAGGGGATCTTAATGTGGGAGGAAACCGGAGTACCCGGAAAAAAATCTACGTGGTCGGGCAGGTGATCCTATACCTTTTCACGTCCGATTGGGAAATCGAAACCCGACCGTATTGTTGAAAATCGAGTGCGCTATCCACTGCGCCGCCAGACCAACAATACTCCATTAATCAAACAATTTGTATCTATGTGAAACTTACATCAAGCTTACAATGATGTCATCAATGACGGCAGTGCTACCTTGACCTTTATACATTTTACAGTTATTGTGATGCCGTACAAGTCACATGCACCAGCCAAAATTACATGACTATTAATATGTAATGGTCGTGGTGATATTTTTGTTTCCTAGCGCCTTACTCGACAATACAGTCGAACCTCGTTATCTCGAAGTCAAAGGGGCCGTGGGAAAACATCACTTTTGATGTAAGAGTTGAACTTTCCCCCAATTAAGTGACGGAATACAATTGGTTATGTCCCCAGGCCGGTACATACCAAAGTCTGTACCACGGTACTTGTTATTCCCTGATTAACGGAAATCATTTAGGATAATCACAGGTACCTATCGGAGACGAGCAGAAAGATTCACTTACATGCAAAAAAGCAATGAACTCGCCCAGAAACGAAGACATGGGTTGTTAATATTTCAGCCGACTTAGTATAGACAAACAACGGTCGATCCCGACAAATGATTGTTCTTAATGAAGCTGAAGAATAGATCTTCAACACCATATGCGACACTCATACCTTGATCTCATTAATGTGACACTCATACCTTGATCTCATTAATGTGACACTCATACTCTACCTTGATCTCATTAATGTAACACTCATACATTGATCTCACTAATGTGACACTCATACCTTGATCTCATTAATGTGACACTCATACCTTGATCTCATTATTATGACACTCATACTGTACCTTGATCTCATTAATGTGACACTCATACATTGATCTCATTATTGTGACACTCATACCTTGATCTCATTAATGTGACACTCATACCTTGATCTAATTAATGTGACACTCATACCTTGATCTAATTAATGTGACACTCATACCTTGATCTAATTAATGTGACACTCATACCTAGATCTCATTAATGTGACACTCATTCCTTGATCTCATTAATGTGACACTCATACCTTGATCTCATTAATGCGACACTCATACCTTGATCTCATTAATGTGATACGTCTCGAACGTAAATAGTCGGATAACTTCACGTAACGGGCCCGGGGTGAGATTCTTACATGTTTTTGGATGAATTTTTATTAATCACTCTTGTTTGCCCGGATTGGGGCGAGCAGAGGGTCTCAATGTGGGAGGAAACCGCAGTACCCGGAAAAAAATCTACGTGGTCGGGCAGGTGATCCTATACATTTTCGCGTCCGATTGGGGGATCGAACCCCGGCCGTATTGTCACAAGAGTGATTAATATAAATTCATCCAAAATACACCGAAAGAAATATCCATGTTCTGACATAGCCGTATCAACTTTCAGGATGTTATTATACGCCAGTGTATTTAATTAATTGGTGTACTGACTCTGGCGGCGTCCTCAAGCCCTTTGAAAAAAATTAAGGCCACGCAGGTTGAGCAGGTCGCAATGTTTTGCCTCTCTTTTCCGGGTCGGACAAGGCTAAAAACAAAACGATCTTATTGGTTGAAATTACATACTAAAAATCAACAAATCGTAACGCGTGTTACAGGCCGTTTCAGGCTGTGGTGTAAATCGTTCAATTGGTTAACCATTTGTCGATATAATGTGACCAGGTGGAACCAGTGTTGGATACATTCGGCACAGTGTTTCAGTGAGGTGGAGCTGTAAATTCGGCATCAGATCCGCGATATCACAAGGAGGCAGATACGTATATACTGTACTACACTCGTCTGAAATGATTTAACTGTTTAAAAGAACGTTTATCTAAAAAAAAAAATATCTTGATGTACCATTCCTTTGACGTGTTTTTCAGGTCTCCATGCAGTTAAACATACACACAAAAAACCTAATAAAACATGTTAACGTTATGGCTATGTGTAGATTTCCTCATTCATTCTCGCACCAGAGAAATGTGTATGAAATAAGTCAACAAGAATCACTTAATGCACAATATTGCATACACATATGTACGATAATGAAGATTAAAAGATAAAAAAAAATCCCTGTAATATGTTTATATATATTTTTCACATTTGATCGCAACATTGGTTTGGACGTTTGCATTAGTACCTCACTCACGTAAAGACACTTTCGATAATTGAACTCGATGCCTACATTTTAAAATGGGGGGAGGGGATGTTCAACCGCCCAATAGAACCAGTGTTTAATTATGACGTCAATACCGAGTGCATGTCTTTCATGAGGATTGCATCTGGCGGTGTTTAGCAGCGGAGGGGGAGTGGCGGGTCTCCACGCTTAATTAACCCGGGATTAAACGTATTGTCGGTCTATATGAGATTTTAATTTCTCCCCGACTTGGTAAGTCTTGAATCAAATGGCAGAGGAAATGTCAAATAACAACTTCCCATATAAACGGATCCTCCTCCGTACAGTAATACCTAGTATACATAAAAACAGAAGTACTCTTTATATCTAAACAGGTTACAAACCCCATAAAAAGCACCCAAACGTTTATACCTGTAGCTAGTGAAGCTTACATCTACCGTACAGCATACCCAACCTCGTATAGCAAAGTCAAACATCAAACACCATGTACAACAGCACAGGGACATGATGATTTGTTACAGCCATATTTGGACCTAAACTAAGGTGTTCAGAGTAATTTTACATGTTTGAGGGGTTTAGATCGACTTTCGGTAACATGCCACACCCAATGCTTATTGAAAGTCGATCTAAACCCCTAACACATATAAAATAAATCTGAACACCTTAGTTTCGGTCCAAATATAGCTGTAACAAATTCTCAGGTCCCTGTATACAACAGTACCCGAGAATACAAACCATGCAAATGCTGCGCTACAAACCCCGCACAGGCAGGTGTGTCACAGCACGCCTGGATCATATCACGATATATTACAATACGTTTCCCGATATATAGTCATAGGGAAAAGGTTCTCAATGTAAAAAGAAATTGCTATCGGGATGATATCCAGCTGAACCGTATTTTACATGGATCACACAGAGTAAGATTTCGTTTGTTAAACCAACCTCCGAGTATGAAATACCAGCCAATTATCACCCCTAGTGAAAGCCGGCGTGTCTTTTACCATGAGTAGCAATCGACAAAGTTTAAACACCTAGCGGATATAAAAATTGGTATTTGAAAAATATTGCGATATAGCGATATATTTTTACTATATTGTGATACGATCAATATGTCTGCGTGTTGCAATATACCGGTTTCCCGATATATTGTGACAGCCTTACATACAGCATTACCAACACAATTCCTTTATAGCTACCCCATATAGCACACGAATTATGCACACAAAGCATACTTTTGTTGACCGCGTTTGATCTGTTCCAACGTGATCAAAATATGCTCAAGTTACATCAATGCACTTGCACAAAGCATGGCTTGAGAAATATACATATAAATATTTATAAAGTCAACAACTCTGAACCCATCCACAGATGTTGGGATAAAGGACGTTTTCGTTGATGAACAGTGACAGAAGTGTTAGCTACTATCCTCTCACGGGCAGATTTGTCGAGTTCCGTGGCTAAGGCTAGATATTGGTGTGTTGTACAGCTGGACATACTTTCAATTTCGTGCCAAAAGTAAACGCAACATGAACATTTGCGAAATCGTACAGATAGACGAGGTTCCAGCTAGTCAATCATCTTGAACCGCGGACGGCGTAAAATATGACGTCATTGGAATGCAACTATAACTGCAATTATGCGCATTTTTTATGAGATCAAGTACCTGTATCAGAACAGATCTCCTCGTGCGTTCAGTAATCTCTGGTGTCTTTGATATTCAATATTTACATGTGCATCAGACTACCGACGGCACATTTCAATAATTTGTAACGTTTTGTTTTTAAAACTTCCCATTATCGCACTTGCATGTCACTAGGAGTGACCCTAATCGCTCAAGCTAAGTTTTGACGCAGCCTCGTCACGTTCGTGAATACATTACAACATGCGGTGCCGATATCTGCTCCATGACAGGATGTAAAGACCAAAGTTGAACTGCCTCAGTGAAAAGGGCAATGTCTTCGCTAAATATTTGTCGTCTTTGCAACATAATCAGAATGTCATTCAATAATCTATCATAGGTACTGAATAATAAACACTTTTTTCCAGTGGTTATATCATGTTGATTGATCTGCGTTGTGTATAATTGTAAATAAGTGTTATGGTTTTTGAGATTTGAACTATTTTAACTGATACCTATTATAGAGGAGACAACAATCTCTGTAGATATATTTCCATCTGAATACCTTAAAAACGTTACTCATTCATACACAAACGTACACTCCGCCAAATTAATATAAGATCAAACTTGAGCCGACAAAAGTACAGGGTAACGCCACCGGTTCCACAGTTCACGGTCTCTATTGGCGGAGAATGCAAAACAGGTAACAATCCAAAACGTGTTTTAATAAAGATTTCTCCGTCTCATTCATCTGCGACGGGCGTGTAATAATTGTATTCTATTTCATCTGATGTTTTACCCCCTCGTCTGCAAAAGGACAAGCTTGCCTCTTAGTGCCGACTACACCAGCGAGCCTACCATTACCCTACACGAGAGTCTCACACCCAATCGACACGCTATGCGACTTTAATGCCAACTCTGCCTGTTGTGTGTACGCAGGTGGACGGGACGGATTTATTTCGAATCATTACACAAAATCTGAATGTTTACAGTCCAAAGAATGACAAAATTATTCGCAATGAACACAATGAAACCCATGTTAAGCTAGAAGCCCGCATCTCTTTGACCGGCCGCTAGGGGGCGTTTGTGTGCTCCATCACCGGTCGAAATCATTGATAATTTCTATATCTCAGAATTGTACTTGAATGGTTAAATTTACCTTAATTTTCTATACAATGTAACCACGCTCCAAACCAAACAAGACTGAGCAAGGCTACGTCATTAGGTTTTGTGAATGACTTGTCAAATTATTCATAACCTCCGTGAATATTGTTTCCTTCAGTCGGCTCTCTAGGTTTTCCGGGTGATATTGAGACGATGGGCTCAGTACCACCGACATTGTCGGAATATGACAATCACCTGGATTGAAATTCAAGAGGAAAAGCTATCAACTATTTTTCAAAACGTCAATATTGCATTCACTTCGTTTTGATCAAAAACCAATTCAAAATAAAGCACAGTTTTATTGCAATGGAAACACAAGATTCGTCAACAAGTCTCGTAGTCGACGTTAAAGAACGTGTTCAATCAGGCGTGATATCTTAGGCCTAATAGTATTGTACGAAAATATTGCAAGGTATGCATACAAATCGGTACATATTAAGTTATAGAAACAGATTGTTTGAGCACATCTTTGAATTGATATCAAACATGCTACTTCAAACAAGCTCGTAATAAATTGGACGCATCAAGGGCAAATTATCCGGCCAAATCCATAACACTAGGCTGCCGAACGGACAATACTGAACCGCCGACACCTGGACGCAGATGCCTAAAACAATATCAGACTCGAGTCCGAGTTTCGTTTGTCCCGAAATCATTATTTATTAACTATGGGAAATAATCATAATAAAATATCTAAATGTTCATTTTGTGTCTAATATGAAATTATTTTCATTATCAGGGACCCGTTATATTTCAAAATAAAATAAAATGTTTTCAAGCAGAAATGGGAAATCTTCAAATCGTAAATTGTGCCTATTTTGCGAAAGTAAAATAAAAATTAGCGTTAAGAAGATTGATTTTTTTCATTTATATAAATTAACATGAATTGAATATAATTTGTTTTTTTGGTCAGGTATTGAGGTGCTAGCGCTAGGTGAGTACGAGGAATAGAATATATTTGTAATATCAAGGTGAGCTTTAACAAAGACTATCACGAAATGTTACATGTAAATTGCTCTGTATTCCCAGAAAGATAGTACCCTGAAGTGTATACCCAAATATTTTCTACAGACACGTGAACATGATAAATCAACAGACAAAAGGGTTGTACCCAATGAGGATCACAATACACGGATTAACGGTAGTATCTATTGTATACATGTATGTTTTTTGTTTCCCCGAAGAAGACACGAAATAAAAACGGAAATGTGCAAACAATTCCAGATCCAGATTGAGATCAATCACCATTTCAAAATATATGCCTTATCTGATTTGTTTTAAACAGTATTATATATTGTTATATCATTGGTATTATATTGTGTCACTTTATTCTCTATTGTCTATCCGTACTAGGTATACTTTGTTTATTTCTTTAATGGCAGTGGTATTGTACATTGTTAATTATTTCTTTATTTTTGAGTCAATCTTTACTTCTTTACTTAGTATATACTTTATATTTCTACAATAGCACTGGTATAGTATAGTGGCACTTAAACCTATATTGTTGAGTCAATCTTTACTTCTTTACTTGGTATATACTTTATATTTCTATAATAGCACTGGTATAGTATAGTGGCACTTAGAACTATATTGTTGAGTCAATCTTTACTTCTTTATTTGGTATATTCTTTATATTTCTTTAATAGCACTTGTATAGTATAGTGGCACTTATAACTATATTGGTGAGTCAATCTTTATTTGGTATATACTTTATATTTCTATAATAGCACTGGTATAGTATAGTGGCACTTAGAACTATATTGTTGAGTCAATCTTTACTTCTTTATTTGGTATATTCTTTATATTTCTTTAATAGCACTGGGATAGTATAGTGGCACTTATAACTATATTGTTAAGTCAATCTTTACTTCTTTACTCGGTATATACTTTATATTTCTATAATAGCACTGGTATAGTATAGTGGCACTTAGAACTATATTGTTGAGTCAATCTTTACTTCTTTACTTAGTATATACTTTATATTTCTACAATAGCACTGGTATAGTATAGTGGCTCTTAAACCTATATTGTTGAGTCAATCTTTACTTCTTTATTTGGTATATTCTTTATATTTCTTTAATAGCACTTGTATAGTATAGTGGCACTTATAACTATATTGGTGAGTCAATCTTTATTTGGTATATACTTTATATTTCTATAATAGCACTGGTATAGTATAGTGGCACTTAGAACTATATTGTTGAGTCAATCTTTACTTCTTTACTTGGTATATTCTTTATATTTCTTTAATAGCACTTGTATAGTATAGTGGCACTTATAACTATATTGTTGAGTCAATCTTTATTTGGTATATACTTTATATTTCTATAATAGCACTGGTATTGTATAGCGATAGCGTCTTAAAAATCAGTTGTTAAATGTATGCTTTTTATGTATGCTTTATAAATTTTTGTGTAGCATTAGTATTGAAAATTGTTTCTCGTTATTCATTTAAGATTTGATCTTTATAAGGCTTCCGAATGTCCTGAAATCTGAAGATGCCGCTAAGGCAGCATTTTGAATTTACTATCGATCACTTTTATATCACGTGTACTGAATTTTGCGGACAATATATGCCAGTAGGTTTTATTGGCCTAATTATTGAACTTGCGATGTTAGATTTGTGGTATTGTAGAATGACTTCTATGCAATAAGAATAATACGAATTTAATAAGACGGTTTTCATTATATCGCGCTAACTAATTCTATTTCTACGAACACATTGTCTTGTATTTCAGTGAGATGAGCTTAGTTAGGGTCACATGTTCTTTGAGGTTTTCCATCAACCATTTTTTATGCTCTGTTCCATTATATCCAGTCTATCTCACAATGTTTTCATATATCCAGGTAGTACTGTTTCAAGTTGTCATGTATCAAGGTATTATTATTATTACATGGATACATTATTCACTCAACATTGTAAAAAAGAGGTATCCGCATTAAAAACATTGATTGGGTTGAACAGGTTAATACGTACATTTAGGCATGTATCTTAGCACTTTTAGGGTTGATTACTGAATATAGCTAACTTGGGTGCGTCCAAGAAAACTGCCATGTACTTGGGGTCTGAGGTGGGAGATGTTATGAGAAAATGGTTTCTACTAATCTACATTAGTGCCCGTTTTGGTCTCATTAATCCGGATCCCGGCAGTCTAACACCACAGTCAGAACGCGAATACTGGAGACCGGCAGTTCTAATGATATCAAACATACTTAGTGTTAAATCTTAAAAGTATCTCTGTCACGTACATCATTAACTAAAGGAGTGCTTTTTAACTACAGAAACTCTTTTCGATATCTTTTAATATCTGACTTTCCTCACCGTAAGTCCAAGCTTTCCCATCTCCTCGTATTGTTATTTTACAGATTAAAGTGTACCTTTAGGATGGTCACTGAAGTGTGTCATTCTAATTTATCAAATGTCAGTGACATGTGTGAGTTACCCAGCCACGTTCAAACCTATTAAGTGCGCTCTATATACACCATCAGGTAAGGTGGTTCACTAATTAGGCCAATTAAACAGTGATAACCTATAGCTACCGTCCATATATAGATAGGACAGGTATGTAATGTGCAGTGCTAGTAAGGTCGGTAGTAAATCTAGGGTGGGCACATGTTTGACACTTTATTAAACCAGTTGTATCGGCTAATTAAAGGCAGGCGTACCCCACACAGCGCCGGGTGGCCCTACATCTCTCACCAGGTGGCAGGTATTGTCACGGGTTTGATACAGAACTGTTCCACATAGAAAACAGGAAACAGAAATGAAATGAAAAATTAATTACAAAAGAAAATACATATAAAAAGATGGAAGATTTTGAATGAAAACGTGATTAAATATAAAACAAGATATATTATTTATAACAGATATGCGTATTTCTCTCCAAGAATAAATGGTATAAAATCCCCTAAGTGAACATATTGGACATAAAGGAAGATATATCACAATCGCTATGTACTAAGTAACACCCACTATCAATCTACAATCCCGGATATATTTTTCAGTCCTTGTTGATACGATTTTATATTCCACAGTAGGATTTGACCTCCTGCTTTGGGGTTTCTATGCATATAATATTACTCTTACCGATACATTAGACAGCAGGCACCACCACTGGTGCCAGAAGTGTTACCTACTAAGGAGGCACCACCGCTGGGGCCAGAAGGGTTACCTACTAAGGAGGCACCACCACTGGTGCCAGAATTGTTACCTACTAAGGAGGCACCACCACTGGTGCCAGCAGTGTTACCTACTAAGGAGGCACCACCACTGGGGCCAGAAGTGTTACCTACTAAGGAGGCACCACCGCTGATGCCAGAAGTGTTACCTACTAAGGAGGCACCACCACTTGTGCCAGAAGTGTTACCTACTAAGGAGGCACTACCACTGGTGCCAGAAGTGTTACCTACTAAGAAGGCACCACCACTGGTGCCAGAAGTGTTACCTACTAAGGAGCCACCACCACTGGTGCCAGAAGTGTTACCTACGAAGGAGGCACCACCACTGGTGCCAGAAGTGTTAACTACTAAGGAGGCACCACCACTGGTGACCCAAGTGTTACCTACTAAGGAGGCACGACCACTGGTGCCAGATGTGTTACCTACTAAGGAGGCGCCACCACTGGTGCCAGAAGTGTTACCTACTAAGTAGGCACCACCACTGGTGCCAGAAGTGTTACCTCCTAAGGAGGCACCACCACTGGTGCCAGAAGTGATACCTACTAAGGAGGCACCACCACTGGTGCCAGATGTGTTACCTACTAAGGAGGCGCCACCACTGGTGCCAGAAGTGTTACCTACTGAGGAGGCACCACCACTGGTGCCAGAAGTGTTACCTACTAAGGAGGCACCACCACTGGTGCCAGAAGTGTTACCTACTAAGGTATATTTGTAGTATACAGCTCCATATGTTGTTCGAATTTATTTGTTTGTGTTTTACATTTTTGAACAACTGTGATGATTTGCGGAGAGCCCGGATAAACACCACCGACCACCGGTGGTTAGACGACAGGTTCTCACTGTGTAATTGGCCTAATTAATGAGCCCCCTTTCCGGGTGGTGTATATAGAGCGCACTTAATAGGTTTGAACGTGGCTGGGTAACTCACAAATGTCAGTGACATTTGATATATTAGAATGGCACAGTTCAGTGACCATCCTAAAAGTACACTTTAATCTGTAAAATAACAATACGAGGAGATGGGAAAGCTTGGACTTACAGTGAGGAAAGTCAGATTATAAAAGATATGGAAATATGTTTCTGTAGTTAAACAGCATTCAATTAGTTAATATTAATTGCGACAGGGTGACTTTAAAGAATTAACATTAAGTATGCGGTCAGTATCTGGAGATTGCCCAAGGTAGACCTCGAACACCCGGCTCAGCGGTGGATGGCTAGTGATCGTAGTGGTCAGATGTATACGGTTATGTGAAATAAGTGGACGTATTTCAGTAACGGAAGTATTAATCAAGCAAAGTAGAAACAGATGCATCAAGTCCTTTAAGTCGGTTACAAAAGGCAGCTGGAACTGTGTACGTCAAAATGGTTTGTCACCCAATTAAAAAACCGTTTCTCGTTTCTATCGAAAATTAATTGATATACTTGAAGACTAAATGTAGCTGATCAGATTGATATTTTACATTTACACTGCAACCCACTATATGAACATTACCAGCATAAATGCATTTCATTTGAGTTTGAAATTCATTAGTTAAGAACAAACATATAGAATTAAACAATTGTCCTATAGTAAAAATGTAAATATAGGGATTGAACGGCGTTTATCTTAAATGTTCATGTCGGTAAGAACACAAATTGGTAAAATCCATATTGCACGAAGCATGAACATTCAATCTCTATATACATAAACTATAATTTAGTTATTTGTAATCGGAAAAAACATACGAAATAGTCTGAAAATTAGAAAATCTGTCATGTAAACAACTTGTCTATGTAAAGTTTTAAAACAGTGGGTTACTTTTGCACTTCTTGTAAAACATGTTTGTAATTTGAAAATCAGCGAACTAATTGTGGAGAATAGAACAAACAGAGAATGTGCAACTTCAGAAAAGAGTAAAGATTTAAAGTGCCTGTTATAATAAAATCCAAATATTTCCCTCTTTGTACCATACTGTAATGCAACATAGCATCACAAAAGATTTTAAGATCAATGCATGCAAGAGTAGCGAACTCATATAGTGTGTAATATAATGTGTAATGTAATGTGTAATATAATGTGTAATATAATGTGTAATAAAATGGGTTATATAATTTGCAATATGATGTGTAATAAAATGTGTAATATGATGTGTAATTTAATGTGTAATATGATGTGTAATATAATGTGTAATATAATGTGTAATATGATGTGTAATATAATGTGTATTATAATGTGTAATATAATGTGTAATATAATGTGTAATATAATATGTAAAATATAATGTGTAATACAATTTGTAATATAATGTGTAATATAATGTGTAATATAATGTGTTATATAATGTGTAATATAATGTGTAATATAATGTGTAATATAATATGTAATATAATGTGTAATATAATGTGTAATATAATATGTAATATAGTGTGTAATATAATATGTAATAATGTGTAATATAATGTGTAATATAATATGTAATATAATGTGTAAAATAATGTGTAATAATATGTAATATAATGTGTAATATAATGTGTAATATAATATGCAACAGTAAGCATTCGTGTTGTGTCCATATGAAGCGAAAACGTTAGGTTGTTGTTTTATACATATTTGAAAATTCCGTTGTTAAAACATTCGCCAATTTTAATGATATGTCTTTTTTCTATTTACTCTTCCTTTAAAAAAGTCATTGTTTTTTGTTTGTTGTATTTACCATTCCTTTAAAAAGATACAAAACATTTTACACTGTTATAAACAAAACAGTTCGAAGCTATTTTATAGAAAAGTTGAAAGACAGCAACATATTCTGTCTCCTTATTGAAATAATTTTATGACCAATTTACCAAATTAAACAAAAATAATGCCAAATAAACATATAAATAAATATTTGAATCGATAACGGGGCTGTAACAATACTGTCGTTCAAAATGTTAACCTTTAACATTACAATAGGTGATTCATCAGGGCCCGTATTCATTGAACTGTTCTCATGCTCAAGCATGGATTTTGTGCTCAAGCCAAGTTTCTTGTTTTGGTTGTACCTTAATAAATAGATCTTGTTTTGACAATGATTTGGACACATTTTGAAGAGACTTTAAGCTTAATACTGTTTCAATGTTTACATTTTACTTTTTTTTATCGTTTGACATGATTTAAGCTAGTTACAATAAAGTTGGCTTGAGTACAAAATTCATGCTTGAGCACGAGAAGGGTTTCATGAATTATGGGCCCTGGTCTCATTTACCGTCCAATGTATTTCCACACTAATTCTTCCTTTATGTATTATAACCCATACATTATCTTGTTAAAATTGTATTTTGAAAACTGAAGCGGGGGCCACGATACTATTGATTCTCGTAAGGAGCTGACACCCTGTAAACATGGATGGCTTTGTTAAAACACATGTATACTTTCTCATGTTTCGAATTCTAAAGTTTTGGTGGGAAATCATAATTCTTTAATACATTTCTTAATTAAATTTGAGCAGATTGCCATTTAGATTACAAATACTATGTGTTTCATATATATCACATAGTTATACACAACAGACATCATTGAAAATATAAATCGAGTTCACGGAACAACACCAATCAGACGGACACAACCGACGTGTGAGGTGGTGGCTAGAAACAATATAGATATAATGGAATACAATACTGTAGATTTACAAATCTAGGTTTACTACCCTCAAATAACAATTCATCTTTCATTAATACAAATGTATGTATTCAAAATATTCAATGGAAACAGCTGTATGACTTAGTGTAATATATTACTGTATATATTACCAACTTGTAAAGGTATAATCACTTGTGTGTTTTACACTCATCTTAAAAGAGACAAGATTTATACCAACATATCATAATTAGACCTCCTCTTAATATAAACATATAAAATTGTCCAGGAATTTCAGGAATAATCTAAGAACTGCACAAAAATAGGTTTTGCGATGACCATTGTTGGAACAACTTGTGGTTGATATGTTTATGCTCCGTAACCAATGTTTTCCTTTTAAAAAGTTAAACATTGATTTACATGTAAAACTCGTTTTCCTTGTAAAATATCACCACTCACTACTAACGATACCTCGTAGATAATTACATATCTGCCATTACTGGACATCTCCATTACCTCTCTAATAGTACCTCATCAATATATATGTCGGTACCACCCTATATCCCAACAAGTTCGAACTAATGGACTGAACAACAATCTCTAACAATTTATCAACAGTGCTTTCCAAAATGATACCAATCCTAAATGAACCATCATATAATTTAATGTAGAAATCAGGAACCGTAGACCAACTACTATTGAATAGAATCGAATTAATTAACTCATTCCAATGTATGTAGTTGCCGACAAGGGATATTGGTGTAGGACCGGGTAAAAGGTAAGCTCCGGTAAAGATAAAACCAAATATAACGTCAGGGACAGCGATAATTCTATAACATTCTAAGATGAGAATTAAATAATTTTATATCTTTTATCGTAATTTTAATGCGACGCCCTGTACTGCTTAAACAAGCATTTTCTAAAATCCGTAAAGCGCAATGATCAATTACACTCATCATTACTTCTTGGTGCTTAAAATTCCGATACACGTATAACATATATAAGCAATAAAATGTGTGTTGTGTACAGGACAAGTATATTTATTCCTAGTTCTTATGTCAAGGACGTGACTCTACCTCTTACGTCCTCCTAAACAAATCCATTGATCTATCTGTCGACAGGAAACAGCAACGTTGCATATTTATTGGAGGTTACTGAAAATAAAACTGTAGCTAGTACTAAAGTGTGTTGAACTGTAGCATTGTGTTTTTCAATGGGCTGAGAACACCATTGCAACGAGTGATCATGTACTCCAATATAATTATTATTGTAGGTAATTGAAAAAATGACTCATAACTAGTATTGTTGTGTTATGATGGTTGTGATTGAGAACATTTATGAAGTGTTACTGTTATAGCGTGATTGTTGTTCCTCGTGTGATTGAGAACACTAACCATAACTCCTGTATATTTGATTGCTGATTTTGATTCATAACATTGCTATAACTCATGAATATTTGTTGTTGTTGGTTGAGAATTAAGCTGTTACGTTTATTGTTGTCACTGAAGGTGATCGGAAACACAAATGTTTCTTTTACGTTTATAGCAAAATGTTTGTTGTAGCTGGTTAAGGTCATTGATGTAGTCACCATTGTACTTTTTATTCTAGGATTGAGAACAGCACAGTAAGTATCACTGTCATACTCCGATCTGGAAAGGGCTTTAAGACGCAACTCCTGTCCCAAATCATATATTTACCTCAATGAAATTGATTTTATGATGTTATTTTCATTACTAGTCTAGTTTAGAAGTTGTTGTTGTTGTTGCTGTTATTGAAGATGATAAAGGACATTACTGTAACTATCATTGTTGTAGCATCCTTTATTCTAGGCGATTGATAACATTACTGTAACTATCTTTGTTGTAGCATCCTTTATACTAGGCTATTGAGGTTATTGAAGATGATAAAGGACATTACTGTATCTATCATTGTTCTAGCAACCTTTATTCTAGGCGATTGAGAAAATTGCTGTAACTATCATTGTTGTAGCCTCCTTTATTCTAGGCGACTGAGAACATTGCTGTAACTATCTTTGTTGTAGCTTCCTTTATACTAGGCGATTGAGAACATTACTGTAACTATCGTTGTTGTAGCATCCTTTAAACTAG